AGAGCCTTTCTGATGCATAACTGCTTTCTTCAGCAGATATTCATTGTCCCAGACTACTTGAGCCTGTCCTGGGTAAGGTGGACACAAGGAGGAACAGGCCATCACCCTTGCCCTAGAGGAAGGCCCCAAGTGGCAGGACAAGGAAGACAGGCAGAGGACTGCAGACCTGGCCTATGGTAAGCACCCTCAGGCAGCACTAAGAACCTTTCCCCTGGGCAGGTGGGAGGGCACCAGCCGAGCAGGTGCTGGGATGGGGTGGGTCCTAGAGGTTAGTAGGACTTTGTGTAGTGACTGTGTGGCGCTGAGGGCAGGGGACAGTTTCAGGAGAAGGTAGGACTGACTGGCAGCCCCTGATTCTCTGACACAGTGTGCTAAGTGTCACACTGAGGCTGGGAAGGAAGGCTGAGCCCAGACTGACGGGCCTTGAACTTGACTATCTGGGAGGAACTGGAGGGCTGTTTTCTTTTTAACCAGGGAGAGACTTGATCAAAGAAAAGTACTTTGGGAATGTTGCTTTGGTCCCTGGTGCATGGAAGATGATTTTGGGGGAGGGGGGGGAGTGGTGAGAGGCCAGGAGGCTGAAGTGGTAGGCCAGGGTACCGTTCACCTTCAAGCCAGTGAGGAACGAGGTGCAGGGTTAGGAGTTTAGTTGTTAAAAGTGCTGGCAGTGGGCAGTGAAACTGGACCAGGACACAGAGGGAACGACCAGGAGCCTGGAGAAGTAGGTGGCTGTGGGGTGGAGGCAAAGAAGGCACCAGAGACAGCTCTTAGGGCCTGGGCAGCCTTGGGGGAGAATGCTTTGGTGAAACAACCCAGGCAGAGGGTGAAGAGGGAGGTGGGGACTGGGAATGGAATGTTCGTGAATGCTGTTTTAGGATGGGGGAAGTCCTGAACAGAGGACAGACTAAAGAACAAGATACAAATGGGATGTCCGGAAGAATGAGGAGAAAGGATCGGTCTGCTCCCTCTGGGCAGGGGGAGGAGAGTCAACCGAACACCTGGGGCTCTCACTCTATGTCCTGAGACCAGAAGTCTTAGGGAGAATCAGTGTCCATGTCCAGGCCCAGACTGGACACTCCCACCCCACTCAAGAGCCCCGGTGTGCAGGTCACAGGGCTGTTGACCCGATCATCTAGAAGCAGTCCCCCACATACTTCCTGCACCCCATACAGGCCACAAGGGCACTGCTTCTTTCACATCTGCTCCCATCATCGGACCTGCTGGCTCCGGGCAGAGTCAGAGGACGGTCAGAGAGAAATAGGAATTCTCAATCCCAGAGACCCCAATGGAACACCCCATCTGTTCTCACAAGAAGTTCTCTCTACACGGCCAGGAGTGGGGATAAAAATGTGTTAAGAAACTGACTACTTCAAGTTCATAAAAACCCAGAGCCAATAGGAAAGCAAGCAAGATACGGAATTGTAAACATAGTGCAGGAAAAAAAAAAGTTAATGGGAAGAAAGATGTGAAGGAAAGCCACTAAAATGTTGAGGGTTGTGTTAGAAAGGTGGGATTGGGTTTTCTATTTGCCAAGTGTCTCAGAAAATAGTTGTAGCACTCATAAATATAGGACAATTCATTCATTGGTTAGATTCTGGTGCTGAAGAGATCGGATCCTGGGAGCGCTCCCAGCGCTCCCTCCTGATAGCCACAGAAGGACAGGGATGCAGAAACGTGGCTGCAGTGTGCACATAAAGCATGATTTCTGTTGTAGGATGAGGCTGGGGTGGACTGAAAGTGGTGTCCCCTGGACAGGACTGGGATATGACCGTGGGCCCTTGGGCTAAGCCTGGTCTGTCCTGACAACTCCCTTTAGAATTCCTTTAGGCTGCTGAGATTGCTGGGAAACCCAGCGCCCACCCTGCCCCTGGGGGCTGCAGAATCAGCACCTCCCTAGTGCCAACCATGGTGAAGCCCACATAGGATGTCTGAGCTCCCCTACCTATGCCGGCAACTGAGGCTACAAAAAGCCTTGGGTCCCAGGTGCTGTGGAGGCAGGTCAATAAAACTTTCAAGTCTGCATCTACATCCTGAAGGTCCCCTGCCCAGACTCCTGCAAAGCCAATCAGAAGAGACTGGCAAGAGTGCTGGGTGCCCAGGGACTCTATACCTCCCTCAGGACCTACAGAAAAACACCTGACGCAGAGGCCAGCCCTACCCCATTCCCATCCTTAATCAGTCCAGCCGGGTGATTCCCCATCTCACCTCTTCCCTACTCTCCAGAGCCTAGCTGGCTCTCTGGCTCTGCACACTCCCATCCTCTAACTCTGAGGGGCGTGGGAAAGGAGAAAGGGGGCTGGGTTTCTCGCCTTTCCTGGCAGAGAGCTGCAGAATTGGACAAGAAGCAATGGGACTGCCCAGGAAGGAGGGGTTGGACGTTTCTAGACAGCTGGTTCTGTGGGTCATGGTTCAGGGACCGCAGGAGGCGGAGATGCTACCTCTTCCACAGCTGTGGACTGCCCGGCCCTGGTTGCCCTCACCGCCGCGCCGGGGAGCGACAGTCAGTAATCCGAGCCCGGACAGCCCGAAGTGGAGGCGGAAGCCCCGCCCCGGCCCGCCCCACGTCCTCAGGAGGAATTACAGGAGCTCAGGACAGGGTAGGCAGGAGAACTTGCCGGGACCGTCTAGAGTTAGGGCTCCCTTCACCCCTCACTCCAGCCACTAAACAGCTGAGCGAAGGGAGCGCGGAGCCGTCCAACCCCAGCGCGCCGGGTCGCGTCCGATCTCTTACCTCTGCGCCGCGGTGCTGGCGTCCAGGATGCCGGCGCCCTGCATCCAGGAGCGCACCGAGCCCAGGCCGGCGGGCAGCAGTGGCTCCCTCCTCCGGCTCG